CTGGGCCGAGGTATCATCCCTTCCAGGCCGGTGATGGTGGGTAGAGGCCTTCGCAGGCCGCGCTGGCGAGAGGGTTGGAGGCGCGTGCAGGGCCCCACGATCATCCGGCGGGGATTCCGCTGCCCATAGGCGCTTGAGTGAGCCCGCGTGCGGCCTCTTGGCTGAGGCCGACTTTTGGCCTCTTTTCCCCCCCCATGAGGATAGTAAGGGAGTCCGGCGAAGTGTCCTTGTGTCACGAGCAACTCGGGGATGGAGCGGGAGCTTCAATTACACACGTCCAGCCGCCGCCATAGGTAAGCCACGCCCCCTCTACCCCATAGTTCTCTGCAAGTCACTTTTAGTGAAGGCATTTGTCCTCTTTCCATAGAATCCATTCCATCTATCTTGTTGCTGCTTGCCTAGCCAATGCGTAGCCGGCCTCAAAATGCTGCAGTTGCGCGGTAGAACACTTACCCTTTTGGTAGCCTATAATGTTATGTTCATGGAAGCTGGAATCAAGAGTGTATAATAGATAATGCATGTGGACTTTGGGCACTTTTTGGTAAGAGCGAACTGGTGCTTACATTTAATAAGTCTGTAAGATTCCCATGTGGTTCAGTTATTATATAATTTATTAAAGGGTAATTCCACTCGTTGGTTAGTGTGGTCCCCTGACAGTTATTTCCCCCTTCTGTTTTTATTTTTTGTTTTGTTGCTCCTTTCCAGTTCTGCTGTCCTAGAAGGTGACTGGATATATTTGTAGTTATTTTTGTCACTCTTTCCAGGACTCTTCCAGGACAGCACCAGTTCCCGGCCCCTTTCCCTGTGTTGGGTTTGTGTTTCTCTGTTTTTCTTGATGGGTGGAAAAGGCCATCTCTCCACCTCTTCTGTCCTGAAAGATTCCTGGAAAGAGACTTACCAGAGAATATAAATACTCCTTTTAGCAGTATAGTGTGGGTAGGCGGTGAAATCTGGTGAGTGATAAATGATTTTCAAGGGTCCTTGTTATCTTTTCATGTGTATATTAAATTCCTGCAATTTGCTCCTGGCGAGGTTGAGAGTGGAAAACAGCTGAGCATAGTTAACATAATGTAATATCTCTTTCCAGGGAGGTCGGACTACCAATCGCGATTGCCACCTGGTCAGCCGACTTGTCCAACCAAAACTCCTTCTCCTCCACCGCCCTACAGTCGGCCTTGTATAGAACAGAATCCGCTGCAGAAGAGGGAGAAGTCTCCAGGCCCTCCATATGCAGAATCTGAGCACTATGGTACTTACAGTTTCTATTTTGTCATATTTTACAATTGTGAAAATGGACCTCATTGAGTGGGTGGCAATATAAGATGTTGAAAAAAGTTTGGGGATTTCTGAACAAATTGCTTCTCAGTTGTGATTTTGTTCTATGACTGACTCATATATTAAATAAAAACATTGTTATGTTGGAAAACAATTTACAGCATTTTACAATTCCATATCTATCCAAAGTAAACAGTTCAAACAATCGAAGCAATTGGTTGGGGAAAGTAGAGTAGCTTTTAAGGTAATGTTAACTTGAGTAGAGAAGTTGGTAAGCGGAATCAAGTGCTTCAATCTATTAAAGTGCATAATTTCCATCTTGTTATAGTAAGGCCCCACTGAAGTGACAGGAATAGATCTGCAATCACACATGGGGCAAGCAGCCGCTACTTTCAGTCTTGCTTCCACTTTCCTGTTGCAGCAATTTGCAGTCAGTCTGAATATGACTGTGCAGTACAATAGACACCAGTGGAAAACACAGTGCTCGAAGTAATCAGAACTCAGGAACACAACTGATCTGACACATCCTCTTCCCTTTTCTGCAAGTCTGTGTGAGGACATTGCTGATGAGGTGTGTGGCTGTTACCCCCACCATTCTTCTTGGGCAGCTGTTTGACCACCGCAAGGTGAATAGCTTTGCTGACGGTTCTATCATCAGGTATATTCTGTGGCTAGGGATGCACAGATACCAAGTGCGGTACTTGTTCTGAGGTGGGTGTGCGGCTTTAATGGCGGCTACCAGTGGTATAGGCACATGCCTAGTACACAGTGCAATGGAAAGGTAGGCTAGACTCAGACGTCTACCTTGGATGTAGGAGTAGGGGGGTCTGCCTCCAGCTGCTCCTCAGGCTATCCCTCAAGCTGCTGCTTTCAGTCAGATACTGTGCTCCTGCACACCAGAGGGGCCCTACTGGGCAGTGCACAGCGTGTGACCTACACTGCCTGCATCCAATTCAGCCTGCAAGCACCCCATCTGCCACTGCATTCACCGAAAAGGACAGACCAAGGAGGCTCCCAATGCCGATGAGCTCCTCCCTCTCATTCCCCTGCTCAGAACATCGGTTTGTTGTGCACTAGTGCTGTATGCTCTGCAGGGCCTCAGGTGGGCTGGCCGTCAGGGTCCCTTTCCCTGTACCTCCTCCCAACTCTTCTTACCTGCTGCTGCTGGGGCATGGCCTCCTCCACACCCTCCCGTCGTCTCTGCCATGCCACCACTGGTACAGCTGATACCCATGTAAGGGGCCCCTCAGGCTGCCCAGACCCCTCACATGGGTACTGGCCGTACCCCCCTGATGGCAGACATGCCAACTCTCCCAGACGCTCCGGGAGTCTCCAGCTATTAGATAGCAGCTCCCGGGAGAGAAACATTTTCTCCCGGAAAGGTTTACTCTGCTCGATCTAGCAGAGTAAACCTTTCCCTGCTTTTTTTTTTTTTCTGACATTGGCCACCGTCATCTCCTATCCGACTTTGTGAGTGCGGTGGAATGTGAGATCGCAGTCACAAAGTCGGATGGAAGTGACATTTCAGGACCGATCAGCTGTTCCAGGGCAGATCGGTTCTCATGCACATACGATTTGCGATGCTGATCTGCCCCGCAACAGCTGAGAAAGCGTTGGAATGCTTGACCCAATGGCAGTCACACATTCCACCGCCAAAAAAATGGGCTGGATTACGTTAAAATGTGCAACAACGCGACCGGTCACACATTCTAACGTAGTCGCAACCTTTGATAGAACAGAAGCCCTGTATGCAATCATTTAATCAGAGAAATAGATTATAATAGGGAACAATACAGTGTAACGTTCCCCATTATAATCCACTTTTCTAATTGAAGGAAACAACAGTAAATTAGCACATAACCCTTGCACCTCCCCCACCCCCCCAAAACAAAAGCACATAACTCTAACTCAGCCTGTTCGTGGCGGTTTATAGAGTAATTGTGTAAGCCTAATGTTATACTGCCCTATTTTCTACTTGTACTGTTTAACCAATATTATATTTGTTTGTACTCATATATGTGTTTGACTTAGAAAAAAAACTATAAAACTTTGCAAAAAAATTCCCATAAACTTTAAGTTCTGGATTCGTTTTCGTGCTATGAGAGCTCTGAATGCCAACAACCCTTCAATGCAAATTTCATTAATCTCTTATAATCCAGAGCATGACCCTGTCCCTTCCCCCCAATCCCCCCCCCCCCCGCGGATCTGACTCACCCAGCCAGCGGTGCAGGAGGATCGCAGCCAAACTCTGTGTTCACGTGTTCACTGCAAGGGTCGGGGCATGACTCACTTCTCCTCTCCTGCCGCCTGTTACTAGGGACGCGGTCGGGAGAGGAGAGCCCGCCCCCTTACTGAGTCGGCAGTGCGGGACCCGGTGTTCTAACACCCTGCACTGCCCCATAGTCCACGGGCATAGTGTTACGCCACTGTATCCGGCATATCGGCCGTGCGGGCTGAACATGATCATGATTGTGTTCGGCCCGACATGCCCTATGGCCAGTCCGGCCCTGGCGGGGGGGCACACGGGGGGGCAAGCAATAACCTAGGGGGGGCAATTGCCCCCCCTCACCCCCCTGTAGCGACGCCACTGTGTACAAGTACTAATACTTTGCCAGCTCTAAGACAAGACAAAAACTCAAAAGATAGGAGGCGGCTGTAATTTTCAAGTAGCATATGGGACTCCTGGGATTTGTGATTCCCTGCTTTAATGTATGATTTGTGATATATTTATTAGGGTTGCAGCAATACCATTTTTCCCCAGACCAATACCGATACTTGTCCAAGTATTAACAGATACTTTTTTTTTTTTTAGTGTCGTGATAGTTTTCTAAAACAATGCAGACTAATGATTTCAGGACAGTGGTGGAGTGCTGGGGCCCAGTCGCAGCTGCAACTGCTACGACCCTTGTAGTTCTCGTGAAAATGCCAAGTATCAGCATCGATACAGATACTGGTATCTGAACATCCCTATCTGTGGCATCATTTTAGGTTTTTACTAGGGATGCACCAAAATTTTGGCAACCATAACATAAAATTTCGGCCAAAAATTGTACTATGGGCAAAAAAAAGCGCCAGAAAATGTGGTGCACCCCCAGCTTCTCTCCTCCCCGCTGGGCGCTGACTTTAGTTTGTGTCCCCTCCAATCCCTGCTGCTCTTGAGCGCAGGGGTCAGAGGGGACACAGTCGATCCAGCTGCCAGCACCCAGCGGGAAGTAGAGAAGCTGTGAGAACTGACCGTGTCAGCAGGGAGGAGGAGAGTGGCAGGAAGGGCGGAGTGGTTCAGGATGGAGAGTGGTGAGGATCAGCAAATAAGTGAAATATTTGCTGACCCTTCCATGTACTTCTCAAACATTGGTGTGGTCAGGTCTGATCACACCGATGTTTGTAAATAACTAAAGACCTAGTAAGCTTACTATGTCCCCGATTATGAATGAATAGGAAGTGCTTTACATCACTTCCTGTTCATTCCTGATTGTGGACATAGTAACTCATACTATCTCTACAGTTTATGTATGGACAGGAGCACTCAGTATAGAGGCTTCCTGTTCATTTTTAACAGGGGCTGCAGAAAAAGAGATGTAGTACTCTTTGTCCTCACTCTCTTCTTCTATTTCAAATATCTGTTTGGATCCCTGATATTTCCCCAAAGCCCCTACGAGTAAAGTAAATAAAGAGCAGAACAATAAAATAATTGGAAACATTATGCAAGAAAGGCACCTTTAGAGATATTTATACCATGACTTGAATATATGAGTCAGATGAGAAATTATCTGGTTGTTACATGCAAGCTTTTAGCAATTTGCATATATTTTATATATTTGTGTTTTTCTGTAACTAGTACTCCCTCTACCTTTTCCTGAACCGCCACCCCCAAATCTGAAGCATAGCGGTCCGTGTCCATCTCGGGCCTCGGGTTCTGACAGCAGCAGCAGCAGCAGCACCAGCAGTAACACTCATTCCTCTATACCGGTAAGTCTGCAGCATCTCATTGTGTAATCGGACTTTATGCAGATATGAGAGAGCCCTATTTTAGTTGCTTTTCCTCTGCAATTCTAGAAAATTTTTGTTTTTTGGATAGCTTGGGGAGGAATCAGAATCTTAGTTTTGCTTTCTTTTTCTTTTTTATGACCCCTGCACTGGGGAAATTTCCCTTCACACCCTGTTCTAGTTACCACATTGTTATTGTCCCATTGGTAGATTTCCTCTTCTCTTCCTGTTCTCATAACTTGTGGAAACGTCTGATGACTTGCCAATAATAGGATATTAATAACTTCTGATAACTTGTCAATAATGGGATAATAATTCTGGTAACTTCTGATAACTTGCCAATAATGGGACTTCTTATTTCCTGCCCTTCAATTGGGAGTAACCGAGGGTGAATCACCACAGTGAGGACACAGCTATAAAAACCTGTCAGAGATTCAAACCTTTCCCCACTCTATCCAAAACATGGAAGGAAGTTTCTTCTTTAATATGTTGACATTTTTAGCTGTGTTAAGGAGAGCCAGGGGTTATGCAAGAATCTAAATCAGTCTGAAAGCAAACCTGTCCCTCTTTTTTAAACCTTTAAAGTGATCCTGTCATCACTTGTTTGCCTTTTTAGTGTAACAACCCCTCCATGTGCTTAAATGGCAAATCCCCCCCCCCGAAAACTGTACGATAACTTTATTCCCCTTTCCTTCCGCTTTCATCCGGGGTGCCTAGGTGACGGCGCCATCCTGGGTAATGTAGAGTAGCCCAAATCCTGTTAAGAAGACAATGCTTCACTACGGTTTCTTCTCATGAGATTTGGAGTACTCGGCATTCCCTGACATCTCCCCCTGCACTCAGAAGTTGGGGGGGGGTTATAATTTTTATTTTATTTTTTAAATGGGACGTTTAGTTTGTATGTATCAGCAGGTCTACCCAACTGATACCCCATTACTGAACTATTCTGGATTGGACTTTTGTTGGCAAAGTTGAGGTTTGCATCTCCGCACAGGTTTTAGGGGTTCTTAGGCACTCGTAAACATAAAGCTATGTGCATGCTGCCAGCCACGCCTGCACTTCACTTGAACTGCCATTTCACAATCGCTTTTAAATAGTTACTTTAAATAGGAACAAATTAAAGGCAAATATGACACAAGTGATTGATAGTAGGCCCAACACCCAATCACAAACACGTGTGTAGGTGTGTGTGTAATAAATAAATATA